GAGGTAGGAGCATTTCTGTGGCTGAGGCACACTGCTGGTGTGTAGAGATGGACACATCCCTTTTACCTTTTAAGGTGTGGCTCGACTTAGCTGAACCTGAACACCCTGGTGCAAGGCAGGGCTGGTAACCTGTGAAAGACCACGGGAGTCTGGGGACTGGCTTGGATGTTAGTGGGTTCTGAGCCCAACCTGGCTCTAGTTCTCGTTGTGTTTGGTCTTTGTAGATCCAGGAGAGATGACAGTGGAGAAGGAGTAGGCCATAGATATGTCTTGGGCCAGGGGCGGATGGCTCAGTTCAGACTGATAGTTGAGTGCTAGGCATTCAATGCGCCTAATGCACAGGGAGTTGTGCACTCCATGGTGGTGTTGACCTTTGAACTGCCTTGTTGATGGGACTCTAAACTCAGGGTGGAGAAGCTTCAGCTCTTCGCTCTGGAATCTTCAAGATTTTACAGCTACTGAGTTCTATCCCGTGTGGGTTTTGAGGACTTTGCATTTAGGCTTGGCCTTAGCTCCCTGAATGCTCTCCCATGACTGCACAGACATGCACTGGGTGTCATGTACAAGCCACACTGGTGGAGATAGTATGTTCTGAAGCCCTGCATTGTGCTGGCAGCAGTTAATCCGTGGGAGTGAGCAGTGGGCCCTCTGGACGAAGTCTACCAGCTTCCTCACTAGCAAGTCCCAGACCTCGGTGTTCCCTGGGCTTTGAATTCAGTTTTTGCATCTCGAGCTCTCAAGCATCTAGGAAACAGGCTCCTTACGTGGAGTGCTGTCTGGATGTTGCCAAGTACAGAGGAAGACCGGCTTGCAAGAGTGGGTTTGGGGGCAGATCTGGTACTAACCAGGTGGTAATAGGTTTCCTCTCAGCACAGGTTCTGTCATCAGGAGTAACCCAGACCTTGTTGCTGTTGGCACTTGTGAGCCCACCAGAGTGACCTGGGAAAGGAAGCAATGAGGGTCTTCGCTGGGATTTGGCAGGGGGGGGAAGGGCTCAGACGGCGTGGACTGCCTGAGAGCTAGGGAGGATGCTGGTCTCGAGGCTCGGCCTCTGGTCACTGCTGAGCACTTGAAGTCCTCCTGCATTCTGGGTGTGCTCATCTCCTGTGGGACTCTTGACCAAGCCCAGTGTCCACCTGAGCACATGGGTTGCCCAGGTGGGGTTTGGAGACTGATACCAGCATCTTGATGGCTGCTTTCGGGTCTTCCAGCAGCCTCACTTGCTGGAAGCAGGATGGGTGGATGATGGCTAAGGCACGGAACCAAGGGGCAGTACCCACAGGTTGCTCCAGGTCTGCCTCCACACACCTCGATCAGTGAGTCTAAGAATTGGCAGATGACCCGTGTCAGGTTTGGGGGTCAGTTCTCAAGTTGGCTTCTTCAGTGGTGGTAAGGGTTTGAAGCAGATGACCGTCCGGTGGCAGAGAATGGAGACATGGGTGGATCTCGGACCATGTCAGTCACAGGGGACACCTTGGTCACAAAACTTGGGCTGAGAAGGTGCTGTCTGCAGAGTCGGTTTCTGGGCAACCTGGCCAGTGTCCCTCAGCCACTGCCCTGCTGTGAGTGACGGCTGCTAGTCTGAGATGGGTGGATGCCTCCAGGGGCTGCTAGGACCAGCAGGATGGGATATGGCTTTCACTCCAGCCTTGGTAACGAGGCTTTTGAGGGTCTCCTCTGCACTCCCTTGCATGCTCCTGAGTGCTGTCAGCTGCTGAAGCCTGCATTTCCCCCCTACAGGAATCATAGAAATTCCTAACCCAGTGCTACCCCGTTTCCCATGGTGGCTCAGTCTGGAGTCCCAGGGGATCAGTGGTCATCTGGCGTAAGCCCTTTTTCCCTGGAGAGTGTCCAGGAAAAGGCTTACAGGAGCCGCTCCGGTGTTGGACCATAGTAACTTGGTCAAACTATCTTGGGCAGTGTGCCTATGAAGGCTAGCCGGGGTATCTTGATGGCTTTCTCTGAGGTTACCATCCAGCACTCCCCCACGAGACAGCTAACCTGTGAATGCCTGCCGAGTCAGATCATGGGCTTGTCAAATAGCTCCTGCCAGTCGAGGTTGTCCATGGCAGCTAAGAGGGTGCTGGCCCTCAAGCTGAGGTGACCTGGCCCTGTGGAGCTGGTGTCAAGGGGACCAGAAAGGATTAGCCCTCGCCTGTCCCACAGGAGTGCAGGCAGGGTGGCCACTAACGTGCCCTCTGCTCTCCAATGGAGTCGTGCACAAAGGGCTGGCCTGTGGCTCCACTCCTAGAGGTCGGGTGAGGGGTATAAAGGGTAACTTGTGGGACACCGATGAGGTTCTTCACCAGGGTCATGTCTTCCGAACTTAAAGTGTGAATTGATAAAACTTGAGGTACTTTAAGTATATCAAGGCTTTCCATTATACATGATTTTATTGTAGACGTTGAGAGAACACCGCTTATGTTGGGTGGCAGTGGATTTGAAAAGATCACCTTTAGCTGGCTTGTCAATTTTGAAGGTAACTTTACCGAAAGCTCACTTCCTGTCCTTGGTGCCAAGTCAATGTGGCTTGAGGGTAAAAAGGTTAATGTTGGTAGGTCGGCAATCAAACACGGCTGTCTCTACTAGCCTGCACGGATTTTTATTGCAGCTGCTGAGATGGGGCACGCTGCCTCAGAAGATTCAGGAGCCAGCAAGCACGTCTTTGGGGGTAGCTCTGGTATAGGCCGAAATAGGCTGGCTATCAAGATGACAGCTCAGCTCTTGAGGGGCTGCAGGTGAAAATCAACCCATGACTTCCACTGGGTTATTCGGACTGCCTGTAGCACCAGTCCAGTTAACACGTTCCCATGGTGTTAAAGGATAAGGCAGTAACTTAATGTATCAAAATAGAGGTAAACCCAAGAAAGCCCTGCAAAGTGGGAATCTGAGGGCTTGCCTTCAAAGTAACTTACATGGCCCTGTACATAGTGTTGCTGGGGGTGTAGTTGATGGTTTTGCTCTAAATTGAAGGCCTTAGAAACCTCAGCTTTTTCATCTGAATTCTGGAAGGGTAAGGGGCCTTCAAAATGGTTACCCTGAAAAGTCCACGGAGTATGGTGGCTTTGTGCTCCCAGTGCACCTCTGCTGGCGGCAAGTGGGATGCGTGGATAACACCTTCCTGTGTCTGGTATCTGTGGGACCTTCTGAGGAGCACTCTTAAGGGTGTGTGCGGCAGCACAGTGTGACAGCACTAGCCCCTTGACACGCAGGCCCTTGTTTCTTACAAAAGCTCTCCCAAGTCCCACGGAGGTCAACACAGGTTATAGGAATGACGGTGCTTCCTGTGATGAGCAGATGTGGCGCTACACTTGAGATGGTGCTTGGTGACCCAGCAGCCTGTGAGCGTGCATGTCCTTCACACTGGGGTTCTGTATCTGGCCCAGACCACGTGGACCACCCCAGCTTGCCACTGGGATCCAGGAGGGGACTTTTTGTCCATGTCCTGCTTGACTGCATAGGTGGATGCTTGGTGTCCAAAACCAATCCCCTACCTCTGAATATCACAAATTCAGCTTCCCTGAGCCAGGGCCCGCTTGGGAGCCCTTTGTGGGTGGGGGACAGTCTGGTGCTGGATGGTCAGAAGTGCCTGGGGGTAAACTGGCTCTAGGCGTGGGCCTCTGCACAGCCTTGAGGCTGACATGGGGGCCAGCACAGGGTGCAGCTGCCAGGGAGGCAAGCCCAGGTGTTGATCATCCAGACGTGCCTTGAACTGCTGCCAGGTCTGGGTGGGCCATGTGACCTTGGTGTTGGAAAGGGGGAGTCATCCAGCAAGAAGGGGCCCAGGTGTGGTGTTCAGGGTGGCTTTTTTAGACTTTGGGAGGCAATACAAACTCGAATGGGACATGAGTGAGCAGCTGGAGCCCAGGGAGAACTCTGGGGGGTTGGGAGTGCTCGTGACAGTAGGCATGTTGAGTTTCAGAGGGCAGTTCCACACTGAACTGGCATTCTCCAGATCTGCGGTCACCTTGGCTTCCACTATGCCTGGCAGGTCTCAATAGACTGGTCAGGCCTGGAAGTGTCCCCTGGGACTGGGTGGGCTGATTCTTGTCACTGGTTGGGCTGTGGGAACTGGGGGGATGACCTGACTTCTGGCAGCCGTGGCAAAGCGGACGTGTCTGCTCACGGAACACCACAGGTGTACAGAAGTCTGACAGAGCTTGCTGATGGGCCAGCCAGGTTTCCTGGGAAATGGGGACATGGACTCTGGGTCACTGGGGCAAGGGCTATGCCGGGAACACTGTCACTTGGGCTGGGGACGAGGAGTGCGTTACTGGGGGAATTGCTACCAAACTCATGGCCTGTAGTCGCGTCTCAACCTCTGGTTCACTTGTCAGTTCCTTCTGCAAGGTAGGTGTCAACAGCAAATTTTCATTGTTCCAAACCTGGAGCCACCTGAGGAGGCCACACACTTGGCTTACCACTTAGCAAAATGAAGACATTCTCTGTCTTGGATGTCCCTGGAGATCTGACGTGAGGGCTCTGCTCTTGCATTTGAGCTTGACCTCTGTCCTTATTTTAAGTTCTCTTACTAAGGAATACAGTTTAATGTGTAAAACCTCACTTCCCACCATACCTGCACTCCCTCTTTGCTCTCCCCTTCCCAGTCCCATTCTCCATGAAGATTTACTTTCAATTAACTTTGTACACAGAAGACCAACTTGATACTAAGGAAAGACTGAATAATTGAGAAACTGAGAAAAAGTGTCTCAGTTAACTAGAATACAACTCATCAAGGGACAGGTCCTGTAAGGGGAGTTATTACAATTAACTCAGGTTTGACATCAGTGACCACCCGAGGCTCTCAATATGAGCTGCCTAGGCTATGGAAGACCTGAGTCCACGAACTGTCAGTATCTGAACAAGGCCCTAGGCAGAATGGAAGCGCTCTCCTCCCTTTAGAGCAGTATATCTTCCTTTGACCCAGCCACATCTTTCCATTGGGACCTCGGACCCTTCGTGTAGAACATTGCCAGTGTCTTGGCTTTCCTGAAGTGCTCTGTGCCCTTACTTGTAAGCCAGGGCCTGGTGCTGCCTGGTGCTGGTTCTGTAGGCCTTGCTCCCTGAGCTTCTGAAGACTAAAGTTGAGCTTGCCACTGACGGATGGGACCTCGTACCCTGGGAGGGAGGTTAACTTGGAAAGACCTTGTTAACCTCTCATGACCAAGCACAAGTAATGTTCTAGGGTGGGGATTGTGATGTCAGACTGCTAAGCTTCCGTGGGTTTCCATCCTCTGTTCCACTCCACGACCACCAGGTGGTGCAAAAGGACTCCCCTTGGCCAGCTGCGGGACTGGAAGCAAGAAGTGTAGTCGGCTCTCTAGGACTCTGAAGGGTGGATCCTTGATTATGTTGGAGGTTTTCCCCTCCATTTACTTGATTTTTTTTTTTTCTTCCAGTTTTACTCCTGTGTGACCTAGGTGTCTTCCTCAAGGGGAGACATCACTGAGGGGGGAGCACAGGAGGGCCAGGGGCATGCTTGGCACGATGAGCCTGAGCACCTCGCTGCACTCCTGACTCCCAAGCCGGGGCCTGTGTGTAAGGGGGGGGGTGGCTTGTTCAGTGTTGCGACACCTTGTGCTATCCTGGTGACCTCGGGCACAGTGAGTTAGTCTTAGGTGAGAAGCTTTTATTTTCAACTTCAATAGTAAATAAGGCCATCTATGGAGTACATGGGAACTCTGCATAACTCCAGGGTTGTTTTTTTTTTTTTTTTTTTGCAGTTAGACCTACTTACATGCAAAGTTAAGAAAATTGGAGCTTAGTTTAAGAGCTACAGTTCTAAAATAGTGTGGCAAAGGCAAAGTAAACAAAGCAGTAAGGCAGGAATGTGGTGCCACAAGATCTTCTGTGCAAGCAGTCTAACCAATAGAGAAGCAACTACTGCCTCTTCACTCGGTTCCAAGTCCTTGGCTTCTGTCTCTAAGGTATAGAGATGCACTAGCAAGTCCTGAGTTCAAGACTAATGACTGTCGGCCGGCGCCACAGCTCACTAGGCTAATCCTACGCCTGCGACACAGGCACCCCAGATTTTAGTCCCGGTCGGGGCACTGGATTCTGTCCCAGTTGCTCCTCTTCAAATCCAGCTCTCTGCTGTGGCCTGGGAGGGCAGTGGAGGATGGCCCAGGTCCTTGGGCCCTGCACCTGCATGGGAGACCAGGAGGAAACTCCTGGCTTCAGATCAGCACAGCACACCAGCTATATAGCGGCCACTTGGGGGGTGAACCAACAGAAAAAGGAAGACCTTTCTGTAACTCTACCTGTCCAAAAACTGCTGTCTAGACAGTCATTAGTTACCCTTAACTCACCTGAGCAACGTGAAGCTATTACTGAAACATCTGTAGATGCAAAGCTCTGGCTAATCTGGCTCATGGTCCACACAAGTTTCCACTTTGTCCTGCACAACGCTGGTGATGAAAGGATTGTCTCCTGTGTTCCTTCTGTCTCCTGGACTGGAGAAAGGTTCTGTATCTACACGGCTTTGTCCCCTGTGGACACAGTGCTCTGGGTCCTGCTGGCTAAGGCTGCTTGGTGCTCTTCCCTCTGCACCTGGACTTGGCTCAGGAAGGTAGTTTCAGCCACGGGCCTCTGCTGCCACCAGACATGAGAATCTAGGCCTCTGTGATGTCATTAACGTCTACTTGGTCAACATGAAAACTTGCCCTTCCCTTCAGAGAAGTAACGGGGTCGATAGTCTACTAGGGCAATCCCTGAGAGCTTATGCTAACTCAGTCGCCTGCTTTCGCATGGCACCCACTAGAGAATTGGATGATGGCTACAGGAAGCCAAGTATGTTTGGGTTTGCTGTATGAACTTAACTGCCCCAGAGTCCCGAGTCACCCGGGACCCTGCTGGTGCTGTGAAGCTCTTTTGCGGGTGATTCCTAGCTAACTGTACGTTTCAACGAAGCTCGGGCATGTGCAAGAATGACCCTGACCAAGGATGAACGTCGGCCTTAAGGAGCGAGTGCTTCTGGGCCATTGTGAGGACTGACAGCCGTTGGTGGTCCCTGCGTGTGGAGGGCACCCGTGTGGGGATGTCGCGTACCTCCAGCGTTCTGCAAGGATTCCTCATCTCGAACTGCTTGACTGCATAATGTAATTGATATCCACACAGGAAAGATGTGTAAACCATGTGCTTTCCCTTTCTTAAACGTACTGGACCATCAACATGTGCTCAGCTTTATGCTATGGGTACTTGTCTTAAGTAGAATGGCTTTTTTCTTTGTGCCCATGAAGGGAGGACCCTGAAGGTGAAGAGTGGCGCAGCATTGTGCGGAGCCCCCCTAGGATGTCCTGCACTGCACATCCCTTCTCGTCTTCAGTGGCCCCCCTCTAGCCCAGTCGGGCTCATCTGTATTAAAGTCCTTGGGCTAGACCATTTTGGGGAGCCTCTACATCCCAGGTAGTATGAAGACTGTGTCTTGAGCACTGACTACTGAAGTCGCCACAGTGATCAAAGAACGTGGTGAGCATGAGCGTATCTGGACACTCTGGCTCTAGCAGCAGGCTGGGGTGGTATCTAGGTTGAGGGGACCTGGGAAAGGCCCCTCGTGTACTGGGCTGGCCAGCTCGGTGACCTGGGTGATGAGGGCTGAGAGCAGGCTCTTGGCACCAGCAGCGAGTGGCTAACACCTCTGATGGGTAAACCGTCAAGGGTGAGAGTAGACGAAGCAATGGAGCCTGTCAGATGAGGCCTGTACCCTTCTAGGCTCCTGGGAAACTTGCACGTGAGGCAGTGCTCGGGCCAAGGCTGTGACTGGTCCTAGAACAGTAGGTGATCAATGTCCCCTACAGGGTCTTGATGATCCAAATGTGCCTAGGATCTGGTTCAGGAATGACTGGTCCACATTCCATACCTGAAGCATAAAGGTTGTGGTTAGTGGCTGAGCATCTTGTGGGATGACTTGGTGGCATTTGCCCCAAGGTATTGTCAGTGCACCGTTCAGTGTTTCCTGTCATGTCTCTTGTCTCCCTTAACAAGTAGAGATTAATGACCTGCGAGGCTGAGAGCATTAGCATGTGGTTCTTGGTAGTTTTCTTGGTTCGTCCTGTACTGGGGAGGAAGCTGCTGCTCCTTAAGGACTAGGCACATCTAGTGGACTTGCTGTATTGCTAATGTCTGTATCTTCCAGTTTTTTGGCTCTAAGAAGACTTGTTCCATGTTTATCTACACATTTGAGTGCAAAATGTGACAGAACACTAGGAGCCAGAGTTTATCTGGAAATGGTCTCTGTCCCCTACTGTTGAACTAGAGGTACAGATAAATAGTTCCCTACCATGGGCTTGGTTTCTCAAATGTCTGAGGCTTGCTGCGGATGAAACTGAACTCTACCCAGTCTCCCCTGTGGCTGTCAGCCTGGTTACTTGTGTGTGTGCTCTTGGTTGCCGGATATCACCTGTGCCCTGTGCAGTCTTGAATCAAGTATTTGGAAGTTGTGTGTCAGTGCGCTGAGCTAGGTCAGGAATCCTCATCCTTGGTGACACCTGGCCTGGGTGCACCTTCAGTGCGGCAGTGTTGTGCTTTGTAAAATGTTCATCTAAGACTTCCTCAAGGTTTGGTAGCATCTCAAGGTCTTGCCAAAGGAAAGTATGTCCAGACAGTCATAACTCATGGTGGGAGCAACGTGGCTCCTTAGTCAAGGACCAGGACCAGTGACTCTTGAACACAAGAGTGCACCTTGGCCATTCTGCGTGGGCCTTCCGTCTGGAGTGCTGGGTGCTGGTGCGTTTCCCCCATAATGGGATAATTTGTAATGGGCAGTTTTCTCATAGAAGCCAACTCCTCAGTCTCCTAGATTAAGCCCTAGTCCTGGAGTTGGGATTAGCTACTTGTTTCCTCAATCTGAGGAATTTTGACCATGGGGTCTCCCAGTTGGGGGTTGTCGTTTCTTCACTGTGCATATCCGTGGACTTCATGCTCGAAGCTGAATCTGATTGCCCTTCATGCCCTCATGCGTACATGGTGGTTCCTATCAGGATTAGGACGAGTGGAGTGTTGGGATGCCTGCTGCAGCCTGAATCTCTGGGTGGTGTGAATGCTACCTGATCTGTGCTCTTGGAGCCAAAATTGGTACTGGAGAAGACAACTCTAGTGCCTGTGATAGCACAACCTCTATCTAAAGACTACTTGAAGTTTTAGAAGTAGTTCTAATTTAAAGTGATAACATAAAAATCACTTCAGGTATACGTAGTGATGGTGTTGGGCATCTGACTTTGACTGCAAGACAGAAAATAGAAAATACCAAGAAATGAAACAACAATGTGGTAATCTGAACACCTTCAGAATTAAGCTTTGAGTGGGAAGTTATACTTGTATCGACTACAACAAGCATTCTGTGTCCTGTTCTTTAACAAGGGCATGGGTGGGATTTTGATAGTGTGCTTTTTCTTCCCAAAAGCAGTTTGAATTCATCAAGAGCACGTGGCAGAAGCCCTGATGAAGCTAGGGAAAAAATGGAAGTTTTAAAATCCTGACACTGTACACAACTCAACTTGTGCAAGATGCTCTCGGTACACATTGGCAGACTATTCCTGCACCACTGTCTAATCCTAATCTGCTCCGATCAATTATCAGCATCTCAGTGCCAACTATTAAATACATCTTAAGTTTATTCTTCAACCCAAGGCGGTCATTCCCTACACCCCTTCACCCGGAAATATTTGCCATCTTTTAGGAGATGTTACTGAGCTTCTGAAAGGCAGTGATGGTCAGGGGAAGAAACTGAGCCTCGTTGTCTTAAACCTGGTGGTTTATTTTATAGAAAACTCTTGTACATCATAAAGCTATAAAGTAACTTTTGGATTATAGCGATTCTTCCAAGCGCCCTCTTACCCATAAACCATCCCATCTCCTCCCTCTCCCATCCCATTCCATATGATTTTTAATTATCTTTACTCAGAGCAGATCTTCTGTATAGACTTCAACAGTTTGAACCCAGACAAAGCATAAAATACTGTTTGAAGACCAGTTTTACCATTAAATATCATAGTACAACACACTAAAGACCGAGGTCCTACTTGGGGAGCAAGTGCACAGCAACTCCTATTGCTTTAGTAGTTGATACTCATATTTACGACGTCAGTGATCACCCGAGGCTTTTGCCATGAGCTGCCCAAGCCATGGAAGCCTCAAGTTCAAACTCCGACCTTAGGCAAGGCTATAATGAAAGTGGAAGATCTCTGCTTTCAGAGAAAGGTATGTCCTTTGGCCTTTTTTCCCCCGGGATCTCACAGATCTTTGATTTTAGGTAATTTTTTCCAGTCTTGGCTTTCCCTGCCTGAAAGTCTCCTGAGGAGCCACTTAGACTGCACATGAATGGTTTGAGCACGTACATGAATGGAACACTTCGAAGCATACATGTGTCTCTAACTCTCACATTTGAGAGGTAGGGTTACAGTGAGAGACAGGACTCCCATCCACTGGCTCACTCTCCAAATTGTAGCTACATTTTGAGCTGAACCAACCTGGAGCCAGGAGCTTTCTCTGGGTGTACCATGTAGGTGCAGGGGCCCAGGTGCTTGGGCCATCTCTCTCAGGCCATAGAGAGCTGGATCAATAGTAGAGCAGCTGGGAACAAAACTACTGTACCTAATGAGAAGCTGGTGCCACAGTGCTGGCCCCAACTGACTTTTTAAGATTTATTTGAAAGCCAGAGTTAGAGGTCCTCCATCTGATGGTTCACTCCCCAATTGGCTGCAATGGCCGGAGCTGTGCCGATCCAAAGCCAGGAGTCTTCTGGATCTCCCTTGTGGGTGCAGGGGCCCATGAACTTGGGCCATCTTCTGCTTTCCCAGGCCATAGCAGAGACTGGATTGGAAGTGGAGCAGCTGGGTCTTGAACCGGCACCCATAGGGGATGCTGGCGCTTCAGACCAGGGCATTAATGCACTGTGCCACAGCGCCGGCCCCCCAACTCCTACCTACTTTACATGTACACCCTTAAACTTACGCACACATTCACTCAGATTGGAAGAAGACATTCAAGCTGTTCAGAATACAGACGATGTAATGAAACAGGACTGGTCACTTCAAGGGTTTGGAATGAGCTTTCTAGAAAAGTACTCAGTTTTGTGACTGGTCTCAACTGCCATCTTGTTTATGTGATTTATAGAGGTTTCTGAAACACAAGCAATGTTCAAGGCCATCAAATTCTTCCTTCACTATTCGTGTACTTCATTTTTAAAGAATTTTTGAAATTTACATTCACTAAAATTTTTGGATTACAGTGGTTTCCCCCCCATAACTACTCTCCCACCCACAAACCATCCCACCTCCTACTCCCTCTCCCATCCCATTCTTCATTGAGATTCATTTCTTTATATACAGAAAATCAACTTGGTATATAAGTAGACTTCAACGGATTGCACCCACAGACACACAAAGTAGAGGACTGTTTGAGTATAGTTTTACTGTTAATTCTCATTGTATACTTATTTCATGCTCTGTATTTGGAGCCGTGCTTCTGTGCAAGTTCCATACTCATGTCTTCCTGTCCTGTGACATAGCTTCAAGATGCCAATCAAACACCAAATAACTTACCTGGCTGTGCTTTGCCAGCCTCCTCCCCAAAGTGCTCACTAAACCAGTTCTTCAGCTTCTAGATCTTCAACGTCAGAAGCTGCAGCTGGCCACTCTGAACTGGCTGACAAGACACTTATCTCCAGGTTGTTGGGCCTGGGCCTTTGGGTACTCCAGTTGTCTCTACTGCCTTCAAGCCACTTCGTGGAGTACTTACTACTCTGTCCAGTTGAGTCATGTCAAGTTTCGCTGCTTGAGGCATTGCTCACAATTCGTGTAGCTCGGGAACCTTGATCATTCTTTTCCACAATACTTATGAATACAAAGGGCAGTGTTTTTGTCGGTGGTAGACTGAGTAAACTTGTTTAGGCTGCAGATCTCGAATCCCTAGGCCCATTGCCTCTTTCCCCTGTATTCATATAATTTCCAAGTGGCAAAATGACCACTAACTGCTTGAGGGCACCACTCCTAAACACCTGAGCCAGAACAAATTGCTTTCATGTCAGGCTTCACTCCTGTCACATGCTTTGCCTCTGTGGGTGTTCCTGGGGCTTGGTGTGCTAATATTGCTGGAAGGTCAAGATCTTGGAGGACTTCACTCCTGAAGACATCTCTTCCAGTGAGCATCTAGAGACTTAAGTATCTCCCACAACACAACTTCTTAGTCCCTACTGCAGGCCAAAGGCCAGGTGTGGCCAGCTCTAGGGTGGGGAAGACGAATGCAGCTCCAGGAGTCAGTTTAAAGCTTTAGCTGACATGGAGACAGTTTAGGTAGGTAGTTCACTTGCCCCTAAGTGGTGTTCTTGTTAGAGCCTCTCATGTTGATGGGTGAAGTCCAACGTGGGACACTGAGCTGTGGAAGGCAGACTGAGGAATATTCCGAACACGAGCCACATGGAGGCAGCAGAGTTGCCAGGCACGTTGGTTTCAGGCCCCAGTGTTCTTAGCAGTAAAAACGAAGGCCTGGGAGTGACTGAAGTGCCCCGGTCCACTGAAGCTCCTGGTTGTACTTCACTCCTTGGAGGCCCTGTCAGTGCAGGTCTCCCTCTAGGTGAGGAATTGGCGAACAGTTTAGCCCAAGAAAGGCACCTGAGTGTGATTGGAGCTTTGGGATCCTGGGGTCTATTCCAGCTCCCAATCAGTAAGTCTGGTTGCTGGTGTGTAAATAGGTTTGTCCTCTGGTCAGATTTGATGCTGTGAAGATGACTCTGCATATCCCAGGATCAAAACAAGTCGGTTCAGTTCTGGTATAAATGTACATGCCCTTGAAGACAGCAATGCATGGCAAAGAATCTTCGGGGAAGCTTGGAGAGGAAGGGAAAGATGACTTCTGGTCAAGTCTCGACTTTGGACCTGTTCACTTCTGGGTGTGATGTCAGTTCTTGAACACCTCAACTCCTAGAGGACTGTGCTCCTGGACAGCCGGCAAGGCATCTTAATACTAATCTGTCCTTCAACCTTGGTACTGTTGACCTTTAGGTTGCGTAGTGCCCTTTGTAGGGACTGCTGTCCATCGCAGAATCGTCTAGAAGCCTCCAGCCACTCCCTGATGCCATCAGCACTTCTCTATGTGGATGTGACAACTATAGAAATCTTACTCTGAGAGATAACAGCTTGGGAGAGGCTAACCAACTTGAGGCAGCTGAGCTGGCGCTCTGGGAATGACACAGGGCACGTGTCTGCCCATGGACGGACACAGGAGGCTGGAGCCTGAGTTGACACTGACTGGGGAGGGTTTGGATGGCTGTGGTCAGAGGCCAGCGGCGTTCCCCATGAGAATAAACTCTTGAACTATGTGAATGATTGCCTTAAACGTAATCCCCAAGGATTCTGATAACTGGCCTTACTCGGGATTTTCATCTGAGAATCCACTTTGATCTGCTACGCCATGAGCTAGTAGCTGTGAGTCACGGTGTCCACATGCAGCCTGGCAGTAACTGAATCCGGGTGGCCTTTCATGCTCGGGAGGGTGACTTCTGGGCAGAGCACAGCAACATCTCTGGCTGTGGTTAGCTGTAGGCAGCTTGAGAGGTAACTTCCTAAATGGCTGCTGCCTTGCCTGGTAGCTCCAGAATGATTTCTAAGAATCCTTGGAAATTGATGCAGACCGAAATTTGCAATTCCTCACTGGAGTCTTAGAGGACAGTCACATGAATACACACTTCTAACCTTCCGGCTCTGGCCTGTCTGCAGTCATTCCTTCAAACCTCCAGGTGACTCAAACTAGCTGAGCTATGGAATAAGTAAATTGCCAATTGCTGATGGACACTTAGGCCTTTCCACTAAAATGTCAGGCCTAATGAGAAAGGATTGCTGTGTCCCTCAGATGCGCTGTGGGCCAACGATTCCCACTCTGTCCCGGGGTAAGCAAGGATCCACGTGAAGTGGGAAACTAGGGGAGGCAGAACTGAGTGCTGGCTGGTCTAGGGTCATGGGGGCTGAGAGGCTCTCGCACGCTGTGGACCCTTCAAGGCCTTTTGAGAACCAGTTCCTTCTTCGACCTCACTTTGCGGTCACTTTCCTATGAGGTTTCCTAAGGTGCCTCCCCCTCCCCTGCTCTGTGGAGGAGATGGCACTGAGTGGCAGGAGGGCCAGGTGCATGCTCAGCTTGATGAGCCCGAGAACCTCACTGTGCTCTACTGTGCCTCCCCGGCCAGGGCCTGTGCGTAAGGGGTAGGGAGCTTGTTCTTCAGTGCTGACACCTTGTGGTGCTGCCCTTGTGAACTCGGGCACAGTGAGTTTGTCTTCAGTGAGAAGCTCTTTTCAACTTTAAGTCCACCTGTGGAGTACATGAGACTGGTATAACTAACTTGTGTGTGTGTGAAATGAGAGCTACTATATACAAAGCTAAGTAAGTTGTATCTTGGTGTAGGAGCTACAGTTCTAAAATACTGAGTGGTACAGTAAACACGAGTAAGGCAAGAATGTGGTGCCACAACTTTTCTCTGCAAACTGAAGAGTAATGTGGATGACCAATACAGAAGCAACCACTGCCTTTTCACTTGGTTCCAAATCCTTTGCTTCTAAGGTGTAGACGCACTAGCAAGTCCAGAGTTCAAGACTAAAGGGTAGCTGCCGTCTAGACAGTCATTAGTCACCCTTAACTCACCTGAGCAACGTGAAGCTATTACTGAAACATCTGTAGATCCAAAGCTCTGGCTAATCTGGCTCATGGTCCACACAAGTTTCCACTTTGTCCTGCACAACGCTGGTGATGAAAGGATTGTCTCCTGTGTTCCTTCTGTCTCCTGGACTGGAGAAAGGTTCTGTATCTACACGGCTTTGTCCCCTGTGGACACAGTGCTCTGGGTCCTGCTGGCTAAGGCTGCTTGGTGCTCTTCCCTCTGCACCTGGACTTGGCTCAGGAAGGTAGTTTCAGCCACGGGCCTCTGCTGCCACCAGACATGAGAATCTAGGCCTCTGTGATGTCATTAACATCTACTTGGTCAACATGAAAACCTGCCCTTCCCTTCAGAGAAGTAACGGGGTCGATAGTCTGCTAGGGCAATCCCCGAGAGCTTATGCTAACTCAGTCGCCTGCTTTCGCATGGCACCCACTAGAGAACTGGATGATGGCTACAGGAAGCCAAGTATGTTTGGGTTTGCTGTATGAACTTAACTGCCCCAGAGTCCCGAGTCACCCGGAACCCTGCTGGTGCTGTGAAGCTATTTTGCGGGTGATTCCTAGCTAACTGTACGTTTCAACGAAGCTCGGGCGTGTGCAAGAATGACCCTGACCAAGGATGAACATCGGCCTTAAGGAGCGAGTGCTTCTGGGCCATCGTGAGGACTGACAGCCGTTGGTGGTCCCTGCATGTGGAGGGCACCCGTGTGGGGATGTCGTGTACCTCCAGCGTTCTGCAAGGATTCCTCATCTCGAACTGCTTGACTTCATAATGTAATTGATATCCACACAGGAAGGATGTGTAAACCTTAGAGTATGTGGATTGAATCAGAAGCCCAAAACTTGACTGACCTGAGACTTTTGAGGAGTGGCCAGCTTAGTGCTTCGAATAAGCTTGAACTTTTTTTGGCCAGACTTCTCCATGAGGTGAGATGACACAGATGGGTGTTCCTATAATCCAGGATTCCTGGGGAGTGGGCTTGGGAGTGGCACCTGTATGGAAGTGGGAAGGCAAGAGGAGGCTGGGGCAGAGATGAACTTGGTGCTTCTGCAACAGAAAGCTTACCCGAGCTTTCCTGTAAACTCTGGCGGTGAGGCAGCCTCAGAAGCTGCTCGGACCTCACTGGCGTGGCTGGGCCCCTGTGCTTCTCACTGGTGTTGGGTGGGTCTCCTCCAGGGAAGAACCGGACCTTGGTTGAAGCAGCCCCCATTGGGGTCAGGCCACTCCCAGAGCAAGGCAAGTCTAGATATCCCTGCTCCAGGTGTTCTTGGAGGCACACAGCACAGGAGTCCTCTTACCTGGATGTGCCTGGTGTCCTTTGGGAAGTCGGCAGGTCTTGGCTGAGATGGTTTCACTCAGGGTTCTTTGTCCTCATCGGAGGCGTGCTTCACACTGTGGGAGGGCTCTGGGTCTCACAAGGCTCGTCATCCCAAGGAAAGATCAGTGTTGAGCTACACGGGTGGCAACAGGGGTCTTGAGGGAGGCCAGACTTGTCCCAGCAAGAAAGTGAGAGGCCATGCAGGGCGGTGATGGAAGTGTTGTGCTGAGGGCAATTCACCCAGTGAATTCTGGAACTCCTGTCCACATGGAGGGAGAACAGCCCTGGTCTCATCTGGTGGCTTCCTACTTCTCATTTGGGAGACTGGATGCTGCTGTGTGGTCTCCTTCCCCTCTACATCCGGGGCCATGGCTTCAATGACCCAAGTAAAAGTCCAAGGGCACACTGTGGCCCGTAGTGGACGTGTCCTTGGCGTTTGTTCCCCCCGAGCTGAGTTGCTCATCAAACTGGGGAAGGATTTGCTTAGATGACCTCAGATTCTTAAAGGGTTTGAAACAGCTCGTTCACAGAACTATCTTGAGTGAAGCATGATTTCTGGTTGAGAATCCTGGTGACTGCCAGTGTAACTTGGAGTCTGAGCCTTCTCTTGCCCCAGTCTGTTAGATTTCTGGGTGCAAGTCCTGAACAGAGCCCAGAGGCCTTCACTTGTGTGTGAAGCTCCAAGAACGAGCCACCCAAACCTACTTCTTGACAAGTTTGTCACTCTGTAGGTCGAGGTCCTCAGCCTAGCTGTGTATGTTTGGTTTGTCTTATTTCAACTGGAGCGATTAGAGGGAGGTTGTCTGTCAACCCTGTACTGTGGGTAGGGATCGGCCAAGGGGCTGAAGGGGGCGTAGATCTGGTGCTAGATGCAGCCTTCTGAAGGTGTGGCTTGGAGAGGGTGGCCGGGGCACCTGCGGAGTTCTGGGTACTCCACTGGGCCCACACTTGGGGCACACAAGTTCTGTGACTGCAGCATACATGACCCTCATGGAGGAGAGGGTATCTTTAGATAAGGTCAGGTGTTTTTTTTTCTTAGAAAATGTACTGGACCATCAACATGTTGCTCAGCTTTATGCTATGGGTTCTTGGTCTTAGGTAGAATGGCTTTTTTTCATGTGCCTATGAAGGGAGGACCCTGAAGGTGAAGAGTGGCGCAGCATCGTGTGGAGCCCCCTAGGATGTCCTGCACTGCACATCCCTTCTCGTCTTCAGTGGCCCCACTCCAGCCCCAGTCGGGCTCATCTGTATTAAAGTCCTTGGGCTAGACCATTTTGGGGAGCCTCTACATCCCAGGTAGTATGAAGACTGTGTCTTGAGCACTGACTACTGAAGTCGCCATAGTGATCAAAGAACGTGGTGAGCATGAGCGTATCTGGACACTCTGGCTCTAGCAGCAGGCTGGGGTGGTATCTAGGTTGAGGGGACTTGGGAAAGGCCCCTCATGTACTGGGCTGGCCAGCTCGGTGACCTGGGTGATGAGGGCTGAGAGCAGGCTCTTGGCACCAGCAGCGAGTGGCTAACACCTCTGATGGGTAAACCGTCTAGGGTGAGTACACGAAGCAATGGAGCCTGTCAGATGAGGCCTGTACCCTTCTAGGCTCTTGGGAAACTTGCACGTGAGGCAGTGCTCGGGCCAAGGCTGTGACTGGTCCTAGAACAGTAGGTGATCAATGTCCCCTACAGGGTCTTGATGTTCCAAATGTGCCTAGGATCTGGTTCAGGAATGACTGGTCCACATTTCCATACCTGAAGCATAAAGGTTGTGGTTAGTGGCTGAGCATCTTGTGGGATGACTTGGTGGCATTTGCCCCAAGGTATTGTCAGTGCATTGTTCAGTGTTTCCGGTCATGTGTCTTGTCACCTTTAGAAAATTAGTGGCTTGCAAGGGCTAAGAGCATTAGCATGTGGTTCTTGGTAGTTTTCTTGGTTCATCCAGTACTAGGGGAGGAAGCTGCTGCTCCTTAAGGACTAGGCACATCTCCTAGTGGGCTTGCTGTATGCCAATGTCTACCTCCTGTTCCTAATATGACAGATAACACTAGGAGCCAGAGTTTTATCTGGACATCATGGCCCGCTGTCCCCTACTGAATAGCTCCCTTCCATGGGCTTGGTTCCTCAAATGTCTGAGGCTTGCTGGGGATGAAACTGAGAACTCCACCCAGTCTCCCCTGTGGCCGTCAGGAGTCTGGTTACTTCCGGTTTGTGTTCTGCACTAGTGTGTATGACTTTGGTTGCCAGAGACATCACCTGTGCCCCTGTGCATTCTGGAATGTTCTCCAAGTATTTGGAAGCTGCTTGTTGAGAGCTGGGTCAAGAATCCCACCCTCAGTGACCCTTGGCCTGGGTGCATCTTCACCCTGGCAGTGTTGAGCTTTGTAAAATGTTCATCTAAGACTTTGTTCAAGATGTTGGTAGCATCTCAATATTTTGCCACAGGAAAGTGTCCAGACAGTCATAACTCATGGAAGGCAGGTGGACAATGTGACTCCTGGTTGAGGACCAGGATCAGTGATCCTTGAATACCAGAGTGTACCTTGGAATTTCTCCGTGGACCTTCCAGGGTGGGTGCTGGTGCATTTTCTCCATAATGGGATAACTTGGAATGGGCAAGTCTCCCATGGAAGCTAACTCTATTTGCCAGATCTAAGCCCTAGTCCAGAGTCGGGATTAGTTACTTGTTCTCTGCTCTGAATCTGAGGAATTTTGACCATGGGATCTCCTAGTTGGTTGTCATGTCTTCACTATGTGTATCTGGACTTCACACTCAGAAACTGAATCCTGAATGCCCTTCATGACCTCATGTACACGGTAGTCCTATCCAGATTAGGACGTTGAATGGAGTGGAGTGTTTGGATGCCTACTCGGACTGAATCTGTGGTTGATGTAAATGCTACCTGACCTGTTTTCTTGGAGCCCAAATTGGTACTTGAGGACTGACACCTAGAGGTTGAAGTTGTGCTATCTAAAGATAATCAGGTTTTATAGGTAGCTCTATTGACATGTTTAAAATAACACACAACCACTTCAGATATACTTAGTGATAAATAGTTGAACATCTCTGACCTTGCTGACTGCAATACAAAATAGAAAATACCTATAAATGAAACGCAACAATGCCTTAATACCTTCAGAATTAATCCTTCCAAGCCTTGAGTGGGAAGTCATATTTTGACTTATCTGTAACAACCACATTCTAAGAATCCCGTCCTTTCACAAAGTCATGGGTGGCCTTTAGATACTACTTTTTCAATAGTAATCTAAGGCATCCATCAAGCACTTGGCAGAAACCTTGATGAAGCTAGGGAGAAAATAGAAGTTTTAAACAATTCACTGATATTGCACAGAATTCAACTTCTGTGCAAGATGTTCTCAATATACATTTGCAGACTACTCCTGCACCAACGTCGTTCCTAATCTGGTCCTATCAGTTATCAGCATCACAACACCAACTATTAAATATCTTAGTCTATTTTTCCAAACCAAAGGTGTTCCCCCCTCTTACCCTCCAGGGAATGTCATCCTGTAGGAGATGGTATTGTGCTTCTGAAAGCAAATGTGGTCAGGGGAAGATACTGAGCCGCATTCGGTGTGACTGTACATGTGAAGGGTTTCTGAACACAAACTAACAGCTTCTTGAAGCATACATAGGTCTCCAATTTCTCATCTTAAAGGCTTCAGTTAGTGTTGGAAAGGCCTCCTGTCTGCGGGTTCACTCCCTAAGGCAGCTTTGGAGCTGTGATCCAAAGCCAGGGGCTTCTTACCCGTGAGTGCAGAGGCCCAAGAGTTCTGGCTGTCTTTCTCGGGCCATAGCGAGAGGTGAATCAGAAATGGAGCAGTGGGGACTAGAACCAGCGCCCATATGGGATGCTGGCATCACAGGGGGAGGATTAACCTGCACCACAGTGCCAGACCCAACTAGCTCCTATATACATTCTTAGTAAATGTATAACCATAACTTGTATACACCTATTCACTCAGATTGGAAGAAATTCACACTCCTCAGACTGCAGGGCAATGTAATGAAATGATTAGTTACTTCGAAAGTTGGTAGTGAGCTTTCTGGAAAAGTGTACAAAATAGAAGTTTTTGACTAGTCTCAGCCAACTGGTTGATGCGTTTGTGATTTGTTTTGGTTTGAGACACTTGACCTGAGTGTAATGCTGAACCAAGGCCATCAGACTCTCCTTTCTTCACTATTCGTATGCTTTCATCTTATGCTCTTTGTACTCTGAGCTGAGCTGCTGTGCAAGGTCAGTGTTCCTCTTGTTTTCCTGTCCTGTTTGGTATTTTGAAGCTATGTCACAGCCAATCAAACACCGAATAACGTATCTGTTTTTTCCAGCCTCTTCCCCAAAGTAAACCAGTTACTTTAGTTCTTTAGTAAACCAGTTACTTAGCTTCTGCTAGAACTTCAACGTCAGAAGCTGTAAGTGGCTACTTTGAACTGGCTGATAGACACAAACTTATCCCCAGGTTGCTGGGCCTGAGACTTTGGGCACTCAAGCTCTGTCTATGCCTTCAGGCCACTTTGGAGTATGTCCTTTGTCCAGTCATGTTCACTTCTGCTTGAGGCACAACTCCCAACTCATGTAGCTCAAGAACCCTGGGATCATTCTTCACAATAGAGTGAAAGGGCAAGGTTTTGGTCTGTGCTGGACTTAGTCGGCTTGTTTAGGCTGCGAATTTTGTTTGAAGCTTTTATTTTTAAATGCTTGCTTTTGCTTAGAGGTGGAGACAGGGGTCTTCCATCCTCTGGTTCACTCAGATGCCGCAACAGCCAGAGCTGTGCTGATCTAGGTCTCCCACATGGTACAGGGGTGTGCCAAAAATCACAGCTGCTTGGGGCACCACTCCTAAATACCTCTTTTGAGCCAGAACAAACTGGTACTTCGGGTTTCACTTCTGCCTCATGCTCTGATAGGCAAATTTCTTTTGATAACACAGCTCATCTCAAAGGAACCTGCCAGCCTTGGCCATCAGCTCCAACTCGTGCTGATGCTCGTCCGAGTGGTCAGTATCACTTTCCTCAGGACTACACTTCAAGAGCTGCTCCAACATGTGCTCGGGCAGATCTTCCTGTTGATCTGTCAGGATTGCCCACTGGATCTCGTTACTGGATAACTTCAACCTTTATAGAATGTTGCTGTTCTGAACTCTGACCAATCACTGGGAACTGACTTCAAGTTTGGAACATCGTTGTTGCTGGCAGCATCTGCAGAAAAACTTGTTTCCAGGCCTTTGAGACCTAGCACCTAGAAGCCTTTTGAACTGTCGGTTTCGGTCCACGCTGTTCCTTTGAGTTTGTTCTCAGGCAGCTTTTACCAGTTGAAGGATTTCGGGGTGCTTGTGGGCTGGACTGTTGAACCCAGTCCTGTTGGAGCACCAGGAGGTGGCACGATTCCCACAAGAAGGCAGTCTGAGGGTGGGGAAGGAGAAATCCATCTACCTGGTAGATGGGGAGATGGTAGGGGAGAAGAGAGCCAGGTAGAGAGGAAGGAAAGTCCCCTGGAGCTCCAGGCCAGTGTCCACCCGGGATGAAGCATACACCACGCTCACTGCTGTGCCTTGCCTTAGCATTGCTTTAATGAAGAACCTGATGGCTGTCTCAAGACTTCAAGTAGATAAAAGCATGGGGTTATTAATGCCACACTTAAGATGACCTCCAGCTCCTCCCCAGGGGCACGGGCAATGCTGGCTTCTTGGTCTGAAATGCACAGTTGAGGGTCTCACAACCAGTAGGTGACTTCTAGGTGACTGTTCTGGGAACAGCCATCTTCCACCTCTCCCTCGGTTTTGATGGAATTGTGTTCTGCTTGATGAGACTAAACTCTGAGCAGCTCCTACATGCTGGAATGGTGACTCAATGTTCTGGTTCCCTTGTGATCATAGTTTGCTTCAAGGTTGCCCAGGTTACCGACCCACAGGGGGCAGCACTCCTCGTGCAACATCAAGATTTTACAAGAACAGAAGCATAAGGCAACTCTTAAGGAGCTACTTTGACACTACAGTTGAGTCATGATACTGTGTACTCAAAAATGGGATTCCATATAGAAAACTGATCCTGGGCTATGAAGGAGGTACTGCATCCAGTCTTGCCCGGTTGAGCCTCTCTTGAAACAGGATTCAAGATAAGTTCTGTCACTTGGATGCAATAACCCCGTCACAGTGTCCTAGTGGCTTTGTGGTCCTCACAGGCTTTTGTGTAGGGTATACTTGATGGACGGGGCAGGGGGATGTCTTTTCCTCCCCCTTGATAGCAAGGACCTCACTTAAGGAGGCACCTGGACTGACCTTCGAAGCATGACACTGCTCACCCTGGTTGTGTTGCTTTTGTGTCCAGAGTCTGAGTCTAGCACCCACCATCCAAGATTCTTCAGGTAGAAGCTTACTGGCAGGTGTTGGTTCTGAGCCTAGATTTCAGGATGTCACTGGTGGGGGTGGCACTCTGTCCCCAGCAGTAAGTGGGACAACATCTAGCACTCGTCGTAATTCAGTGTTAGCAGACATACCCTAGAGGTACAGTGCCTCTAGGCCAGAGTTCTGCGTCTTGGAAGTGAGGACAAGTGGGGAAGGTGGGCCATCCATCAGCTCTGGACAGCAAGTGTCAGAGGCTGGGATGGGCCTTCAGTGTGAACTGTTACATTCAAGGATTTCTCTACTTGTGGTGCTTCTAGAAATCCTCACAGCTTCAAGTCAAATGTGCACTGTCCAGGCTGTCAACCAGGTGTGTTCTGCCTCAGAACAGCTGGGTGGTTCTTTGGCTGCTCTGTGCATCGCAGGATGCTTGGCATCCCTTGACTATTCTACTGGATGTAGCATCCTGCAGTTCGGCAAGTCTCGACTGCTGCCTCAAGGGACACTTGGGTAGAGGACTGGGTATGTGTACCTGCCCCATGACCTTAGGAAGGAGAAGAGTAGGCCACTACGGGCAAGAGGGCTGATTTCTAAATGGAAGTGAGCCTTACTGTGCTTGGAAGTATTCCCCCAGTTTAGCTCTGCGAACCACAAATCTACTTGTTCCCACTGAGAAATCCTTATCACTACTGATGTCATGAAATGTGTAACTTATCACACGTTCACTGTACACATCCCAGCTGTCTCTCCATGGATCTGAATCTGCTCTGTCCTTGTGTGAACTCTGGTTCACATCTGGGCTGTCTGGTGATGCTGACTGTGTGCCCTGCTGTGGCCTGGTTCTGACATAAATACTGCCTTTGAGCTCTGTCATCCTTGACCCAAATCAACTTAATGTCTCCTGGCCACACGCGAGTGTTCAGTACAACTTGTGTTCCCTGCTGTTTCTTCAGGGAGCTGCCTCACGTAGTGGGAGCTGGCCTGGTTTGCTAAGTCAAATACACGAAGCCTCACATCAGCGAGTACAGGCTGTCTTGGGCAGGAGCTGAGTCTGATCAGCTGGTTTCCCCCTAGGGAGGCCTCAGATCTCTGCGTCGGGCCCTTTGGTTATCTAGGGTAGTCAAGTTTGATGGCAGAGATTAGATCTATAAAACCTTCTCGGGCTCACCTGGGTTAGTTCCTGATTGGGTAGTGGGGACTGCAGTTTTTCAGAAGTGTAGGTAAAACTGACCTTCCTACTCTCCCTTCTTCATCTGGAGAAAGATTGCAGCAGCAGCACCACCAAGTAGTCCTAACTGCTGAAAACCTTATATTAAACGGACGACGTAAGACAGGTCAGCTAAAACCCTCAACCCCCAACAGAGGTACTAAACCTGAATTAATACCCGTGTGAGGAAAGTCTCAGGCAAACAATACTGAAGCAAGGAAGCCACCAGTGGGCACACAGGCAACTATCAAGAGGATGCTATCCAGCAGTTCCGGGTAAAGCCTTAGAGAAAGCTCTTGGGTGTACTTAACCTGAGTCCATGATGCCCCTGTGTAACTATATTCCCTGAGACTGAGAAAGGCTCATGTGGAACTCAAGGTATGGAAATTGTGACAATGTGGCCTTGGCACAGTGAAAATGACAAACGGGCACCTCCACAGGTTGGAAAGCTTCATCCATGAGGCAGGAAACAATTAGCATGAAGATCCCAGCCATGAGTACAGACCTCCTAGCCCTGTAGGATCTGCAGCCATGTAGATCGAAGGCTCCTCACATACCCAGGAGTGTCCTGGGCCTAGTCCTTATTCATGATCTTCCCTGGTCTTGGAACCCAGAAGGATCCCCTGAAAACGTGATGGGAGGCAGCCTGAAATCAGGATGTCGCTTGACAGAAATAGGTGCTGGGGCAGGCAAGGTGCCCCTTGGGTCCAATGCACCCCATCTCCAAGGCCTGGCCATGGCTGGTAAGGTAGCTTCCATTGGAAGATTCTCAAGGGGTTGTGTGAAGGGGATCACAGAAGCTAGGGTACCCCAAGAACATGGGACTTGCTGA